CAGACTGGCCTTGAACTCACAGAGATCCACCTGCCTTTGCCTCCCGAGTGCTGGGATTAAAGGCGTGCACCACCACGCCCGGCTGTTCCCAGTTTTTCATCTGCTCTGCCAAGACTGAGTGGTTGGATGGCAAACACGTGGTCTTTGGGAGGGTGAAAGAAGGCATGAGCGTTGTGGAAGCCATGGAGCGCTTTGGGTCAAAGAATGGCAAGACCAGCAAGAAGATCTCCATTTCCGACTGTGGACAGCTCTAATACTTTTCACTTGTGTGCATCTTAACCACCAGACCATTCCTTCTGTAGCTCAGGAGAGCACCCTCCGCCCCATCTGCTCGCAGTATCCCATAACCTTTGTGCTCTCGATGTCTCAATGCAGTTCTTTGGGTTCCATATTCTCCTTACTCCCCTCCAAGTCTAGCTGGATTGCAGAGTTAAGTTTATGATTATGAATAAAACTAAATAGGAACCATTAAAAAATAAATAAATAAATAAATAGATTAATTAATTAATTAATTAATAATAAATGAAAAAATATATACCTGAAGTTATTGAAATCACTTAAGGTAAAAAGATCTTAAAAGCATCCAGAAAAACATAAAGATTGTTTTTAATACAAGTCTTATTATGTGTCAAGTATTACTCTCTGCAGTCTTTTGTTTCCCTATAAATGTATCTTTGATTCTTCTCTGTGTCAGAAAAAGTAGACCCATCTCATTCTCTGATCCTCCAAGTTGTAGATATAACTATGTTCATGAACATCCCTGTACTGAAGGGATAGTGACAGGTCCTGTCCAATTTGTCAAACTTCCAATTAATGTTTCAAATGACTTTCTTGCATGCACATCATTTGGGCACATGTTCTAGTATTTCTAGATGGACAGTTCAGAGTGTAAATACTGACTATAAAGATGTATCTGGGACTGGAGAGATGACCCTGTAGTTAAGAGCTCTGACTGCTCTTGTAGAGGACCCGGGTTCAGTTCCCAGCACCCACATGGAAGCTAACAGCCATCTGTAACTCCAGTTTCAGGGGATCTGATGGCCTCTTCTGACTTCTGCAGGTTTTGCACGACTAGGGGGAACTTACATACATGCAGGCAAAATCCTCAAACATACAAAAATAAAATTTTAAAAATACATCCATCTTTGTGAAGTTTAAATTTAATTTCTAAATTTCCCCTTAAGATGCCTATACCATGTTATAATTCTACCAACAGACTGTTTCCCTGTACTATCACCAGAAGGGTTATTGGCCAAGATATTTATGAGTCACATGGTTAAATATGTGCATATTGACATCACAGTGGTTGGGTCCAAATTACAATTTTGACACTGGCCAAGTTAATTTACTCTTTTGTTTTAGCTAACCTCATTTTTCTCTTGCATAAGCTAAGGACTGTTATATAACTTTCTAAGGATGGTGATTTCTAGAACTAAGTGAATTATAAAGTTCATGGAACACAGGCTAGGATATTTCAATATGTTAATCACTAGTGATTCACATGAGTGTTGAAATAGAACATCTTATCAGACATTTGTGCCCACTTTTATTTCCTCTTCCATGAAATGTCAGTTGTGAGATGGGATTTCTGTATTATTGAGTGTTAGGCATTCTTGATAAGCTAGAGATACCCACACTTGATATCAGTGAGAAGGAAGCTCTGAAGTAGATGATAAACAGTCTTTTTTCTTGTGTCTACATATTTGCTTTAAGTATTTGTCATCTTTCTGGTGTCTGTTTGACCCATCAAAGGGAAGAGGCCTGGCAGGGCTGTGATGGGTGGGCAAGGGAGCATGTCTGGAGAACATGGCTAAGGAAGCCCCTTCCTTACAGGAAATAATTTCAGTGAAGAATCTGCTGCCCTTTTATGCCAAGCCCTGTCGGTAAGGAGCACGTGGGAATGTCCCTTGGGAGGCCTGGGTGATGCTGTGGTCAGAGTGAAGCAAAGCCATTTGCAAGGTTTGGGGAACCAATAAATGTTTGGCCCCTGTCGATCCCTGCAAAAGCCTCAGCAAGAGGTAGGGTTTTCAGGATGGCACTAAAATCTGCAAACAACCAGTAAGAGTTAAACAAAAAATAAATAAATAAATAAATAAGACATTTTTTTCAGTCCAAGAACACTAACCCACCCAGTTTTGGGGTACCTGAGAGCCCTTCATAGTTCTACTCCAAGGTAACTGAGAGATTTTCAGCCAAAAGATAAAAATAACCTCTTGCTTGGACATGGTGGCCCATGTTTATAACCCCAGCACTCAGGAGGCTGAGGCAATAGGATTGGGAGTTCAAGGCCAGCCTGGGCTATATACTTAGAATCTGTCTCAAGCTACATAAATAAGTAAATGAAAATAACCTCTTTTATTATCATTTGTTCCTCTAGTCCAATTACCGAATTAGGATGCTGAATCTCAGTCACAACCAATTCTCTGATGTAGGAGGGGAGTACCTGGGACAGATGCTAGGTATGTCCCCATGGAGGGAAGGGAACTAGTGAAAGGGAGGAACTGGGGGAGGGATTGGGTAGAAGACCTCTTAACAGAGCTGAATTTTCCTTTATTTTTAAATTAGCCCTCAAATGTTTTATTTATGTGGTTTGTTTTGTGAGTTTTGTTTTGATTTGGTTTTTGGTGGTGATGGTGGTAATTTCAGTGGTGTGGTTTTTGGTTCTCACTTTGGTTTATTTTTGAGATAGTCTCACTTATTATGTAGTTCAGACTGGCTGAACTTGAGATCCTCCTGCTTCTGCCTCCCAAGACTTAGAATCATAGGTGTGTTCCCTGAATGTCTCCGTTATAAAAATGATGTAAACTGAGGGGCTGGAGACATGGCTCAGCAGTTAAGAACACTGGCTGCTCTTGCAGAGGACCTGGGTTTGATTCCCAGCACCCACATAGCCGCTAACAACCATCCATAACTCCAGTTCCAGTGGATCCAATGCCTTCTTCTGACTTTCGAGGGCACTACACAACACAGGTGCACTTACATACATGCAGGCAATACACTCATACACATAAAATAACAAAATTAGGGGCTATAGAGATGGTTCAGTGATTAAGAGCACTGACTGCTCTTGCAGAGTATGGTGCACGCGCTGGGCACCCTGGCATGGTGTGCGCAGGCACGCCTGGGAGTCACGGCGTGCTCCGGTCCCTTGGTCTCAGCCGCGCGCCCTGGAAGAAGGCGGGTCTGGCCCCACGGGCTTCTCCGTGTCTCTGTGGGTCTCTGCTGCTGGAGTGTTGTTCAGCCGTGTACCGTCTTAATTTCACCCCGTGCGCTTTCCTCTTGATGCGAGATCCACTGGCCACTGGATCATGCGGGTCACCGGTACACAAGACTCAAGGCTCGGCTCAGTCTGTGCTTACAGCTTTATTCTCTCTGGGACCCAATCTCTGGGACTCAGTCTCTGACCCGATCTCCCACTATTAAGAGAAGGCTAGGATATTTTTATACCATGGGGGTAGTGGTAAAAGCTTTGGCTGATAGATACTTTGTGAGACATTCTATTTGCATATGGAAGTGGATTTCTGCCATGCTGCCAGACTGCTGACTACCTGAAAAATCACACAGGAAAGCATGGTATTCCTAGAGCCAGAGGCCATGTTTATGTTATGGCATTTGTGGCGGGCACTTCAAAAGGAGAGTCAGGAAAAATGCCAGGAAGGCACCCCGCTATGAAAGGAGTCTCAGCACATAACTCCGAGCTTGTGAGCTATCCGGATATGAAGAGACTTCTACTTCACATAACAGAGGCCCCCAACAGCAGAGGACCCGGTTTCGATTCCCAGCACTTACATGTCGGCTACGAACCATCCTTAACTCCAGTTCCAGGGGAACCTGAAGTCCTCTTCTGATCTCCGAGGCATTGGATGACATGGGTGCACTCACATACATGCAGGCAATACACTCATACACATAAAATATGAATAAATAAATAAATAAATAATAACAAAATAAAAATAAATAATGTAAACCATGCCCAAAAATAATGGAGCAAACATCTGGATGTGGGAAGCAAACCTTCCCAGTGATTAGGAGAACATATACAGAAGCAATGTATACTGGGAAAAATGGCTCAGCAGTTAAGAGCACTGCTGCCCTTCCAGAGGACCTGAGTTTAGTTCCCAGTACCCACATAGGGTGGCTGCAGAAGATCTAATACCTTCCATGGCCTCCATGGGCATTTGCATACACATAGCATATATTTACAGAGACCCCCCCATACACATACATAAAAATAAAATCTAAATAAAAGAAAGAAAACAGCAATTTGTGTCATTACCTCAGGGAGCTTGGGATTATTTTCTGTGGCACTGGGAGGTTAACTGCAACAAAAACAATTCAAATATTCAACAAAAATACATTTAAAATATGTATATGATAAAAGATGCCATGGTTGGACCTGATCTTTCTGTTGTTCTGTTTTGGTTCTTTGTTGAGACAGGGACTCCTATAGCCAAGGTTGACTTTGAACTCCTAATCCTCCTGCCTCCACCTCCCAACTTCAAGGATTATGAGGGTGTACCACCAGGACTGGCAACCAAAGATGACCTTAAAAGACAAGCAACAAACAAGGGGTGAATATCTGCAGCATTTGTATAAGATTTGTGTTCTGCCAGGCACACTTCTGTAGGCCCAGTATTTGGAAGCTCAGGCAGGAGGGTGAGATCACCTGGTCTACCCAGCTTGGAGGTTACAAAGTGAGACGCTCTCTCAAAAAAAAAAAAAAAAATTCTTCTTCCACCTATTAATCAGTTTCTGTGGCTCTCCAGGCATGATGGTATGGACTTAGAGTACCACCTATCAGGAGGCTGAGGCAAGAGAACTGTACGTTGGAGCCCAGCCTGACCAACCTAGTAAGAGCCCATCTCGAAAGAAAAAAAAAAGAAGACTTCAAGATCAATTAGATAATGTTAAAGGCTCCCAATAGAACAATGTTAATGACATGTAGACAGCAAAAATAGAGCATCAATGTCCAACTCTTTAATCATTAGAGAAGTACAAAATGAAAAAGAGAATCAAAGTTTCCCCTGCCATCCTCCAAAACTGTAAGTCTAAAGTCAGCGACAATCACCTGTGGACAATGGGGAGGAGGCTGCTCACCAGCTCCTAGGTAAAGGGATGGAGCTTACCAGGGTGACTGGGCATCTGAGAGTGGGAGTGTTGTCAACAGCTCCCTTTCTCAGACTCAGAGATGCTAACCCACACCAGAGACAGGCCTGGGATGTCACTGATGTCTTGTCACAAAGGGGGAAAAAAAGATGATCTTTAGTGGTCAACCCTGGACAAATGAGTACCTGAGAGGGGACTCCTGGAGGGTGCTGATCTGGATGGGGGAGTGTAAAAGCTCCCCACCCCCGGGGAGGTCAGCCGTATGCTGAGCCTGGAGAAACAGAAGCAAGTCACCTTCCTAAGGAAGAACAGAGTGTGGTAGTGGGTTTGAGGAGCATTGAGGGCAAGGTGGCTGGAGTGGAGGGCAGAAAGGAGACTGGCCAGAGCAATCAAGGAGGTAGTCTGAGGCCAGATTATATCAAGCTTTGTAGCCCATGGCAGGGACAAAAATCTGGGGTTTTAGTCTACGTGGCAGTGAGTCATTAGAGGGTGTCCAGTCATTAGGGCAGAAGCAAGGTTTGATTCTCTAATTGGGAACCATGCTGCCTGTGGTGTGAAGAACAGGGAAAGGAGATTTGAAAAGAAGAGACACCAGGACCTGGAGAGATGGCTCAGTGTGTAGTAAAGTGCTTACCTTGCAAGCATAAGGACTTGAGTTTGCTCCCCCAGAATCCACATGTAAAAAGCCAAGTGTGATGATACACATCTGTGGTCCCAGCACTGGGGAAGAAGAGATAGAAAGTTCCCTGGTGCTCACTGGATAGCCAGCCTGGTCTACCTGGCAAATTCCAGGTCAGTTAGAGACCTGGTCTCAGAAAACAAGATAGGGGCCAGCAAGATGGCTCAGTAGGTTAAGGCACTTGCCACCAAGCCTGATGATCTGAATTTGATCCCTGGGACCCATATAGTAGAAGGGAGATTCAACTTCCACAAGTTGTCCTCTGACCTCCACATAGCCACCATGGGCACACACTCCCACAAAATGCACACCACACACACACACACACACACACACACACACACACACACCCCACAATAAATCAATCAATAAGTGCAATAACAATTTTTAAAGAAAATGACAGAAAAGAGCTGGGCATGGTGGAACATGGCTGTAATCTTAGCACTTAGGAGGCTGAAGGAAGAGGATCCTCCTGAGTTTGAGGCCAGCCTGGCTACAGAGACCATTTAAAAGACAAAACAAAAGCCAGGCATGGTGGTGCATGCCTTTAATTCCAGCACTCAGGAGGCAGGTAGATCTCTGTGCTTTGAAGGCTAGCCTGGTCTATGTAGCAATTTCCAAAAAAGAAGAAATAAGACAGATGGCACCTAAGGAACACAGCCAAAGTTGACCTCCCTCTGGCCTCCACATGGATGTGATAACACATGCACACACACACATATGCACTTGAATATACATGAATACACACACACACACATACACACACACACACACAGACACACACACACACACACACACACACACACACACACACACCAGACGGGATATCAATCAAGCTATAGTGATGGTCTCAAAAAGACAGAATAATTGTAAGAGCTCAGGACAGGTCAGTGATGAGGGGAGAGGATGGATTCAAGGCAAAAGATCTCCATGATCGAAACGATTAAAGTCATAGTCATGGGTCGATGACAATGTCATTTCCTTCGATGGGGAAAACTCAGGGAGTAACAGAGAAGGGGTTCAACTAGATGACATGTTTCCATCGGGGGCATGTGGTCTTGATAGTTCATGGCCATAGGACACCCATGTAGAAAAGTCAGGTAGGTGATTTGCTGAATAGCTTTAGAGACTGATAAAGACATCAGAACTAGAAATACAATCAAGAGTTCTGGCCTGGGGTTTTTGAGTCCATGAGACAAGATGTGGCTGTAGAGACAGGGCACATTGAGAGTGGCCGGAAAGTGAGCCCTGGGCCACAGCCATGTGTAAGGTTGCAGAGAAATGGGGAGGAGCCAGAGGAGTGGCCAGTCAAAAGCAGGAAAGCCAGGAAAGTAAGGTCTCCAGCCAAGTAGTTCAAGACCACAGTCAACTCTCTAAATGTTGCTTAGAGTTCAGATAAGACAGGCAACACAAGGTAGAATGAGAGAACTGCCTCCACAAAGCTGTCCCCTCACCTCCACATACAACACTGTGGGATGTGTGCCAATTATAATAATAATAATAGTAATAATAATAAGAAGAAGAAGAAGAAGAAGAAGAAGAAGAAGAAGAAGAAGAAGAAGAAGAAGAAGAAGAAGAAGAAGAAGAAGAAGAAGAAGAAGAAGAAGAAGAAGAAGAAGAAGAAGAAGAAGAAGAAGAAGAAGAAGAAGAAGAAGAAGAAGAAGAAGAAGAAAAACGTTTTTAAAAATTTGGGGGGGGGTGAGACAAGATCTTACCGTGTGGCGTGGCACTTGCTATGTAGGCCAGGCTGACCTCAGACTCATAGAGATTATACCTGCCTCTGCCTCCCGAGAGCTGGGATTAAAGGCCCGTGCCACCACACCTGGCCAGTAAAAATAAATTTAAAAAAATAAAATCAAGATGGTTCTGTGATTAAGAGCACTTGCTGCTCTTGTAGAAGACCCAGGTTCAGTTCCCAGCACTCACACCGCATCTAATAATTGTTCATAATTCGAGTACCAGGGGATCCAACACCCTCTTCTGGCTCTTGTGGTACACCTACATACATGCAGGCAAAACACTCAGATACTTACATACATGCAAGCAAAACACTCATACACATCAATAAATCAATTTAAAAAATAAAAATAAAATAAATATGAACTACTCCCAACTCTGTGGAACAGGTAAGAAAGACAACTTTAAATTTTTTTAAAGATGAGTGTGCCAGGCTTGGTGGGATACACCTATAATCTCAGCACTCAGGAAGCAGAGGCAAGAGGTTTGCCACAGCTCAAAATCAGCCTTGGCTATACAACAAGTTCTAGGCCAGCCAAGGTTTACATAGCAAGACTCTGTATTTTTAAAAAGTAAATAAAAAGTGTGTTCTCTGTGCAAACCTAAACTCATGACAAGTCCAACAACCCCCATCTCTAACTAACTGTTTCTCCAAGGCTCTCTTGGAGGTGTCACCACACCATGCCCACTATTACCTCCCTATGCAAACACAGCCCAGAAGTTGTTCCCTATGATATCTACAACTCTTTTAATGGTTGTATAATATGCCACCAGGTAGATACTTTTTGTTTGAGACTAGCCTTGGGTAACCCAGACTATCCTGGAACTTGCTGTATAGCTGAGAATGACTTTGAATTTCTCATCCTCCTGCCTCCACCTTCTAAGTGATAGAATTACAGACATGCACTGGGCGTGGTGGCACAAGCCTGTAGTCCCAGCACTGGGGAGGCAGAGGCAGGCAGATCTCTGTAGGTTCAAGGCCAGTCTGGTCTACATAGTGAATTCCAGGTCAGCTAAGGCTACAGGGAGACCTTGTCTCAAAAGAAAAAAAAAAGAATTAGATGCAACACCATTCCCAGTTTATGTGGTCCTGGGGATCAAACCCAGGGCTTCATGTATGCTAGGGAAGAAGTCTACTGAATGAGTTACATCCCCAGGCCCTAGATGGAATCTTTTTCAAATGTTTACTAATTTATCTTATTTTATTTTATTTATATGAGAGTTTTGCCTGCATGTAAGTACACCCATGTTGTACAATGACCACAGAGGTCAGAAGGCATTGGATCCCCTGGAACTGGAGGTAAGGATGGTTGTTAGCTGCTATGTGGGTGCTGGGAACAGAACCCAGGTCCTCTGCAAGTGCAGCCAATACTTCTGACCACTGAGCCATGTCTCTAGCCCCTAGATGGATTATGATGTGCTTTGCTTATCCGTATTAGTGGCATCAGGGTAAACATCCATAAGAAAGGGGCCTTTCAGTGTACTGTACTGTCTTAGATAGAGTCTCAGAGTGTGCACATCTTAATGGAAGAATAATTGTGGTCACACAATATTTGCCAGGATGATACCACTTGCCATCTGCAATAGAATAGGACCGTTTTATTTCATCTTTCACCAGCATTGGAGACATCTTACAATTTGTGTCTCAGTGACTAAAATGAAAAGGTTATCACCTGAGAGTTCTAGTTTACATACCCATCTCTAATACTATAGATCTGAGACTGGGTCTTGGGGATGTGAGAGATACTCAGTTGACTCTCTGTCCCTCCCAGCTCTCAATGTCGGACTCCAGTCACTGGACCTGAGCTGGAATAATTTCCACATTCTGGGAGCTACAGCCCTGTGCAATGGTCTCCAGGTAAGGCACTCTTTCAGAGAGATGTTGAACTATTTCCTCGTGGTCGCCTTGGATGAGGGTACATGGAGCTCTCATCAAAGACATTTTGAGTTGCTGGGCTCCCTTCCCCAATTCCTGGATGTGCATTACTATTTTATAACTCCTACCTACTGAGGCCTGGGTGACACCTTTGGGTATTTTTCAAGAGGACAGTGTAGTTAAAGGGTATAGAGACCATACCCCAAAAGAAATGACACTCATGAGGGTTAAGGTGAGGATGAGGGTTAGGGTGGGATGGGATGAGTTACAGTTAGGGTGAATATGACGGTGGTGGTTAGGCTAGGAGTTAGTGTGGGGGTAAAGATGGTTAGGGATTGGATCAGTTAAGCTGAGGGTGAGAGTTGGGGGGTACTGAGATTAGGCTCAAAGTCAGGGCACTTTCCTGGTGAGTCTCACTTCTCCTTGAGGCTGGTGCTATTCCCCTTCCCTGGAGACTAACGTGACCCTGAAGAAACTGGACATCTCCATGAACGGCTTTGGGAATGAAGGTGCTCTGGCCCTTGGGGAAGTTCTGAGAGTCAACAGCTGTCTAGCCTACCTAGATGTCAGTGACAACAGTATCACCAATGAGGGGGTCTCCAGAATCGGCAAGGGACTGGAATACAATGAGAGCCTCCAAGTGCTGAAGGTAGACTCCCTGAGCTGGGGCCGGCGTGCATGTGTCTGTGTTTGTGTGCCATGTATGTCTGTCTGCATGTATGTATCCTACTTGTCTGTCTGCCTGTCTGCCTGTCTGCCTGTCTTCTGTGTTGTAGGGAAGCAGAGTGGCAGGGCTGAATACTGCTGGAGAGCACCATCTACCCTCCATCTTGTACTTCCTGTGTGTACGTATTTGTGCCCATCTCTGCTGTGGACCTGGGGCCACCTCAGCTCCTCCCTTGTGACACACATGCCTCTTAATAGGTCTTCCTTCCTGCCGTCTGGGTCTCCCTTGGGCTTTTCTTCATACTAAGGCCATGGTGTGCTTGGAAGATACTAAACTAATACCTGTTTTCTTCCACTCCTCTAGTCACCTGTCCTCCAACTTATATCCAAATGTCTGCCTACTGCTCCAATCCAGTCCTCTTACCTCCGTGAGCCTCTGTGGCTTCAGCTCACCCTACTCTCCCTGGCTCTCCCTGGCTTCCTACCTCCTCTCTGCTCCTTTCTTCCAGGCACAGGCTGTACCCACACCTTTCATTTCTTCACTGCTTCAGAGCATGGCATGGCCATTCATCAGAGAGCCTGTGGCCTCCTGGACTTGGGGACTGCTCCCAGAACCCTGCATTCTCCTCCCTGTAAAATCCACTGCACTTCCTAACTACACTCTCATTTGAGTGTGAAATCGTCCTAAGAACAAGGACTGTTCAGCTCAAATGTTGTCAAACTCCCCATGCCCACTTATGGTGCTGGACACACCATGAGTCTGTGTAAATAAATGGATGGATGGGTTCATATTTCATTGTAAATTAATTCGCTTGTGGAGACTACTTATGACACAGAGACTGCTGGGTAGTTTGAAAACAGATACAAGAGGATTTGTGTTCCTAGGTTCTCTCTCTGGGCTCCTACAAGCCACACCCTATATCAAAATGATCGATTTATCACTCACCACCCAAACTGGCCAGTGAGCTCTGCCAGCCTCCCCTTCCTAAGACAGAGGCTAAGTGACTTGTTCAGAATGCACAACTCAAAAGAGACAGAGGATTGCCAGCTCTACCTGGATTTCTAAGGCCACTCCAACTCCCCCAAGATGTGGGAGTGTGGGGCCATGACAGACTTTGGGATTCTCGTGGTAGAAGAGTGGGGATGAGGAAAGAGTGAGGATGAGCTGCCATCTGAGAGGATGGCAGGGGCTGCTAGGGGACAAAAGGAGCTGGATTCTGACTGGACGAGGGAATGTGGTGACTGTAAATGAAACCAGACTGGCCACCTAGTGTCCAGGAAAGCTGGAAGTTCCAGCTAGGGCAGAATAGGACCAGGCATAACTCATAGAGGTGGTTCAGGCTGTGAGTGACTCAGCCTTGGGGCCCAGTGGAGCCAAGGATTGCTCTGATAACCTGAACCTTTTTAAAGGTTCTTTAGACTAAGAAGTCTGGCCAGTGAGATGGCTCAGTGGGTACAGGTGCTTGCTACCAAGCCTGATGGCATACCTATGTTCAGTTGCTGGACCCACATGTTGGAAAGAGAACAGACTCCTGCAAGTTGTCCTCTGACCTCCACTTGCAATGGTATGTGTGTACCCACCCACATGTGGAGAGAGAGAGAGAGAGAATAAATAAATGAATGTAATTTGGTGGCATACACCTTTAGTCCCAGTACTCAGGAGGCAGAGGCAGGTGGATCTCTGTGAGTTCAAGGCCAGCCTGGTCTACATAGTGAGTTCCAGGCCAGCTGGGGCTACAGGGAGACCCTGTTTCAAAAAAATTGAAAAAAAAATTGTTAGCCTCTTTTCTGATTTTTCCCCAATGGTCATATGTAACAAATGAATATTAAATTTAAAAAATGTTTACTGAATTTTTGTGAATTTCATACAGTATATTTTAATTCCCTCCCATATCTGTACCCCCTTTCCAACTCACCAACAAATTTCCTTACTTTAATATATAGTACAATATATATTTTATGGAGTATTCTTTACTCTAAAATATTTTATATATATATTAAAGCCTATAGAATGAGGTTTGTGTCCCCAAATGCCCTTCAGCGTGGGTTCATTCCCTGGAGTCTGGTCAACCTACCCTTAAAGGAGTCTCACCCATAAAGGAGACCGAATCTCCTCTTCCCAGCCATCATTTGTTGCCAATAGTCCCTCAGCTAGGGTTGGGGCTTCCTACCCACTTCCCCACATTTATGCTGGAATTTTGCCTAGTTTGAGCTCACATAAGACTTAAGCACGTTGTTACCATTGCTGTGAGTTCATATGAATAAGTGACCAACTGTCTGAAAAACTGTTTCTTTGTGGCCATCTACTTCCTCTGGCTCTTAGAATCTTTCCACCCCCTCTTCCACAATGATCCCTGAGCCTTGGGAGGCAGAAGTTTGATATTGGTGTCCTATTCAGGGATAAGCACTCTGCAGCCTCTTGTTCTCTCACGTTGGCCAGTTGTGGTTCTCTGTGTTAATCACCATCTGCTGCATAAGGAAGCTTCTCTGATGAGAGTTGAAAGATGAATTAATCAAAGCAGGTCTAGGAAAGTTCCCAGATTTGGGAGTCCACAAGGGTCCTAAGAGCAGAGACAGCAGGTGCAGTGCCATATGGGAAAGAGAGTACACCAAGATCAGACTGGGGAAGCCCCCAGGAGTGTCCAAGGGCCCTAAGTAGCTGAGATTACAGAGCCTTAAAAAAGGTTTTAAGTGAAAGAAATAAGAAAACTCCTAGCTGGGTAGCAGGTGGAGAACACATCGCCTCTCCCACAGCAAGCATCTTTTGTTCTCCACATCCAGTCCTTTTCCATCCCCAATCTTGGAAAACAAGAAATTTCTCTGGAAAGTGAATCCACGAAGGCCAGACACTGAGCTGCATCAAAAAGGATTGCTCTCACTGGAAACCATCAGAACCTGGGAAACTGGCACACAGTAAATGCTCAATGAAGCCTTTGGCCTCACTCCTAATGAAACCACCTGAGGAAGCCTTCAATAGCACTAGCTCGGGGCCAGTTAGTCAGAATGTCACAGCCAGGCAGCCATGCAGGCGGCAACCCAGCCTGCTACGGTGCATCCACCCTCTCCTGTGGTCACAGCCCCCCTCTCCTGCTCTGCTCTTCCATCTCATACCATGGTTGATCAGTTGAACTGAAGAACAGGTTGCCGAATGCAAGGAAGTTTTCTTCCTATTCAATGATGATGGTGAAAGTCACCATCACAATGAAGGAATTTGGGACTGTCATGAAGTCACTGGGTCAAAACCTAACAGAAGCTGAGTTGCAGGATGTGATCAAGGAACTGGATGCTGATGGGAAGGGCACCATTGACTTCCCAGAATTATTGACCATAATGGCTAGAAAAATTAAAGATCCAGATAGTGAAGGAGAGTCTTTGAGGAGAATGAAAATGGTTACATCAGGCAGTAGAACTACTGCACATCACGACAAACAGGAGAAAAACTAATAGATGAAGGAGTGGATGAAATGATCCAAGAAGCAAATATTGATGGAGACGGACAAGTCAGTTACAAAGAATTTGTACACCTGGTGACTACAAAATGACCTGCCTTCAAGTACTTTTCCTCCTCTAGAAGAATCAATTGAATCTTTTACTTACCTCTTACAAAATAAAATTTTTAAAATGAAAAAAAATTCATTTATTCATTCTATTTCTATATAGCAAAATAATGTCAAGAAGTACATTCCACCCATGCACAAAATCTGCATGTATCAGTTGGTGATCCTGTCCCCTGAAGATCAAGATCCACATCAGTTTTACAATATAAATACTTATACTGCCTCAATGATAGGAAAGCACCTAGTTGACCCCTAAAAGTTCCATTTGCTAATGATTAATGCACTTTTGAGCTGGCCAGGCTTTCAGGCACGCAGCTTGACGAGTACAGGCAAGCATTTGGATTAAAATCGAAAAATGGAAAAACAAATTCAAAACCTGCTCAGATGGGTTCTAGTTTGATTTGTTAATATAAATGTCAATAGCCAGTTTACTGCAAAATAAACACACACATTTAAAATAGGTTTACCACAGGAAAATGTGCTTCTGGGTGAAGGTCAAACTTGAGACACAGCCCCAGTAGTAGGCTAGTCCTCTTATACTTCCATGTTCTCTGACCCCATGTGACAATGCCACTCCCTGGTGGCATGCCTGACTGTGTTGGTTTAGTGCTGTGTGCACTGTACTAGAGTGAAGTGAACATCAGGTAGCCATCAAATCATACACAGTTTTTTAATATGAAATCTTTACCAATGGAGCCTCTTTGGACTCTGTTTTTAAAACCTTCTGAACCATGAGTTGAAGCCAGTAGAATGGGTGCAGCTATAGACTTCAGCACAACCATCAATACTGCTGTTCAAGAAACTATCATTTATGTACATCCCAAGTTGTAGATGCTAGGAGTTTTTTTTGCACTTTATGACTATGTTTAACATCATGGAACTATGCATTTAGAAGTGGGTAAAATGATAAATGTTATAGGTGTACTTTGACACAAAAGTGGAAAAAATAAAAATTATAGCTATTAGTCCTTTTTTTCCAATAAAAATATCATTAACTTTAAAAATGGCAATAGCCCACCATCCATGCCCTGCTTGCTGAGAACTGGGCACTTTTTGAATGATTTATCTGACTTATGAGGTTGGATCCTTGGGGTAACTCCTCCATGGTGACAAGTACAAAGTAGAAGGGACTCAAATCCAAGCCCAGGCAGCCAGTAAGCAGAGCCGGTCAACTGCACGTTCCCTCCTCCTAACCACCACCCATTCTCAATGGCTCTCAGCAGCCTTACAATAATGTCTTAAGTCCAGAAGGCCCACCACGATGTGACTTTTCTCTGAATCTGTAGCCTCATTCCATCTGTCCCTGCTATGGATTTGTGCTATTGCCCAAACCCCTCATGCCATTCATGTCAGCACACCTTTGTGTTTGCCTGCTCTTTCATCTTTGACGAATCTTTTTCTCCAGTCTGCTTCTGCTCCCTCATCCTCAGACCTCAGTAATCCCCATTACTGGATGCTCTTTTCCTTGCTCCTACAGTACGTGTATGTTCCTGTCACTACTGTCAGTACACATCTGATGCCATTTGTCTCCTCCAACTAGAGTGATCTGACTTGAGGACAGCCTTTGTCATGTCTGCCTATGTAACCCTTGGTGTTTAGCTCAGTGAATGAGGCCTCAACAAATATTTGTTGGATGGATGGATGAATGGATGGATGGATGATGAGATGACTGGATGATGAGATGGGTAGATGGATGGTGAGCTGTTTTGATAAATGGGTGGGTAGGTAGATGGATGGTGAGATGGACTGATGATGGATGGATGGTGAGATAGATGGATGGAGGAAGGGATGATGAGATGGATGATGGATGGATGGATGGATAGATATCTTGATAAGTGGATGAGTGGGTGGATGGATGGTAAGATGGATTAATGAGTATGAAGGTGGATGATGGGTAGATGGTGAGATGAACTGGTGAGTGGATGAATGGATAAAACAGATTGATGAGTGGATGGGTGAATAGATGGACTGTAAGATGGACTTATGAGTGGACTGATGGATGGATGATGGATGGATGATAGATTGGGAGATGAAATAATGGGTAGATGGGTAAGTAGATGAGTAAACAATGAGTAGTGAGTACTAGGTGGAAAGATGGGAGAATGTATGGGCAGACAGATGGACAGAGAGATGGGTATAAATGGAGAAGTCTAGGAGGAAAACAGGTTGTGATTTAATAAGGAAAAGTGAAATGCATGCTCTAAGCCAGCCTCTCCTGCCCCCATCTCAGCCTTTCTCTGTCTTGCCCCTTCTTTCCCACAGCTTTCCCTGAACCCAATCAGTATGGAGGGGGCAGTTTTTCTTATCCTGTCCATCAAGAGGAACCCCAAATCCAGGATGGAAGAGCTTGACATTTCTGTAAGTGATCATATATCAGTTGTTTGCACCAGACATGAGCCAATTACCACCCTGCCACCAATGCCACAAGCTGTGTCCCTCACAGGCCCTCACGCACATGCCACATGCAAAGGTCCCTCCATTTGCTTCAACTCTGCCTTCTCAAGGACAAACCTTTCAATAGGAATGATAGAAGTGGCCCTTCAGTCAATAATACCACAAGGTGAAATACTTTCCCAGATCCGGAGAACCCAGGAGATGAGCACCTGAAAATAGCAACAAGAAGTCACCAAAAAGAAAGTCAGGAGGACTCCAAAACAGAATTTGTGGGCTATTGGTTTTGCTAATAAATAGGCTAGATCTCAGAATGTTCCAGAATCCCGGGATTTTTAGGACCTACCTACACAAATGTATTTTCATTTAATGATTTGGCCTATTGTACTCAGAGTTGTACTTGTAAGTGATCCTTTCACAAAGGAGGAAAGCCCAACCAGGTGGCCTGCCAGGGGCTCACCCAAATCATCACAGGGGTGGCAGCTGGCCTGACAGTCTTCTATACCTGTCCACCATTAGTGTTCTTTGTCCCAAACTAATTTTAGGGTGCCAACTCCTCCAGTGCTACCCTAGGGGGTTGGTGGAGTAGTTTGCTTTCAGAGTGGCTATAGCGAAGCACCACAAATCTGGTGGCACAAACAGCAAAACCCCATTGTCTACAGCTCTGGAGGTCAGAAACACAAGACCTAGGTGTGGGTTGGGTGGGTTCCTTCTCACCCTGGTGGGCTTTTGGAGGAAGCTGTCCCTGACCTCTCTCCCAGCTTCCAGCAGTTGCTGGCAGTCATTGGCTTGTAGGCTCATTGTCCCAATCCCTGCCTTTGGCTTCTCATGGCATTTTCCCTGAATGCATGTCCATCCCTATTCAAAATCCATCTTTTTGTACGAACTCGATCATATTAGGTCAGGACCTACCCTTATGACCTCATTTTAACTTGATCTCTTGCAAAGACCGTTTCCAAATGAGGTCATATCCATGAGATTAAGACTTTAAACCTCTTTGTGAAGGGTATGCTAGATTCACTTCTGTTGCTGTGATAAAATACCTTCATCAATAGCAACTTAGGGAAGGAAGAGGTTTATTGCAGCTCACCATTCCAGGTTACAGACCATCACAGCCAAGAAGTCACAGCAGAAACCTGAAGCAGCTACTCCCAAGATATCCACGGTCAAGAGAAATGACGTGCATGCTTCGTACTCAGCTAGCCCTCTCTAGTCTACAGCTCAGGCCCCCAAACTAGGGAATGGTGCTGCTGACCCTCAGGCTATGTTCTCCCACATCATTTAGGGCAGTCAAGACAGTTCCCCACAGACATGCCTACAAGCCAACCTGATCTAGGCATTCCTTCATTTGGGCTGTCTTCCCAGGCGATTCTAGGATATGGCAAACTGACATTTAAAACTAAGCACCACAAGAAAAGAACAAAAGTTAGTCCATAACAAATACTTCCCCTCACTTCCCACTTTACCTATGAGGAATCTGAAAGACAGCCATCAGGTCATTTGCCCAGGACCCACAGCAAGCAAGAAACACATCCAGGAGTAAGCAGGCCCTTGCCTCCTCCTCTACAGTTCTGTGAAGGAAATGATGTGACTGTCCTTTTCTATCTGTAATGCTTCATGATGATGTTTTGTAAGATTACCCTAATGCTTTGCAATTATCTGAGTCAAGATATTTTGAATATCTGAAGCCAAACGCCTTACAACAGAACAAAGAGTAAAATCTGCATCCCCACTTGCCACAGATTAGAAAACATTATGAAAGCTTCTCTGCTTCTCTTTCACCTTGCTCCTCCACCCCTCCCTCCCTCCTCCTCAGGCTCCTGGGTCTTTCTCTACAAAGGCCCTGTCTCTCCATCCTTACACTATAGTATGCCTGCATAGGATGTAAGGTCCCTCAGCCCCACCCGCCCTGCCTCTGAGCCAGAGGTTCACATTTTGTGGCTATTTGCCCCACCCCCATCCTACCCCTGCAGAGCAGGTAGAAAGCAAGAACCCAGGCATTGCCTTGGTATGCTTAAGGGAAACTTAGAGACATGCTGCTCAGGGCCTAGATGGCCACACTACTGCCAAGGGCAAAGAACCTTGGTCAGTTAGTCTGTTTTCTGTTGTGGTGGTGATATGGTCGAAGTCAGCACATTATAAAGAAGATTGCTATTGATTTCACGGTTCTGGAGGCTGGGTGACCCAGTAGCACGGCACCAGGTCTGGTGAGTGCCCTCTTCATCACCTCACCTTGGGGCAGATGGCATTCCACTGGTTTTGCATATGGGAAGGAAGATGGTATAGAAAAGACAGGAAACCAGTCTTATTATTTTTGCTTCCTTTTTTTAATTATTTTTAACTTAATAACCACATGATTGGAAGAAGCATTTCATTACAGCTTTAACATATTCAGTAACAATTTTCAGAGCAAGAATACATCTCTTTCAAAAGTGGCAGTAAATTTTTAGGTTCACAATTGAATTAATACAGTTATACAATATTGAACTCAGTAAAAGCACTGTAAGACATAAAATTGAATGAGCTTTTAGCCTTTAAAAAAGATTTCCATTTCATTTTAAAATATACTGTTTCTTACAAAAAGACTCAGTTTTTGCTACTAACACTAAGATGTTGGCGCAAGCATCTCTAATCTGTATGGATCTGATTATTACTAGTTATAATACATTGGACTTGGATCCTTGGCACCTGTGTAAGTCTGTAAAGTCATCAAGTAGATTTCAATGGTAATATTTATCACCTCTAATAATTAACTTGACATAAATTTTTATGCTTCCTCCTCAAATATAATACATTTTTTAAATTTATTGATTTGTGTGTGTGTGTATATATCACACAGAACATCCCAAACCACCATCTTATTCAACTATATACCCATTTTCCAGATGGCACCCTCCCATAGCCTCCCTCCCCCCACTAGAGCCCTT